CTGAATATTCATGAAACGTATCTACTTATAACTCGACTACGTACACTGAATAATTAAATAAATAATCCACGTATCTTATGAAATTTTATGTGTAATTAATTCATTTTAATATCTAAGGGTAACGGTTATTAAAATACCTTTTGTTATCTATAAAATGTATTATGTATCTTAGCATTTAAGATTAAATTATTGGCCTATTAAAAGGTACTAAGATATCATTCGTTATTAGGTACCCCTATTAAAATGAAAGACATCTATTATTAAAGTCAAATTGACTATATATAGATAGTAATTCGGAAAATGTTTAAAAAAATATTGGAAAATTGTATGATATATCTTTATTTTCTTTATTTTTAAGGTTGCCCCACACTGGGATTTTCTTTCGTATCGTGGGTGCGTTTACAAACATACAATTTCACATATACATGACTCATAGACCCGGAACAACAATTTGTGGATCACACAAAGAGTTATTCGGAATCTAACCTGCGACACGTTGCACGGAAGCTAGTTGCTAAGCCACAGCGCCAACCGTGCAGCCAAAACAGTCTGACGAAACAGTCGATGGCTATGGCTTCAAAATCATCTAATACACAATATTGACGTAACTGACACCAATTTAAATAAAAAATACATTCGAAAATACAGCACTGCGTAATTAAAATCTTAACCCTCAAAAAGCCACGGGATTATTGTAACAGCAAAAGCCACGCCATGAATTAATTGAAAAGGTTAAAATGTCTTACTGGTTTCCTTGTAATTTGAAATAAGCGAGGTAATTTCGATGTCGAAGGAGAGTTTAAAATTTAAAACTTTTTGATTAATATAACTTGAAGTTTCTATTAGTTTCAAGTTGGTATTATGATGCTAGTATTGGAAAAAATGCTGAAACTATTCCTATCAATTCGTTTACTTAATTATGGAGGTAGTTTAGTTTAAAAATTCAGTACTAATAGGTAAATTCATTATTATTATTAGTTAGAACTAAACCCGTACAAAACCTAAAGAATTAATTTGGATTAACGTTCACATACAGACCAACTATTACTTAAATTAATATTTCAAAAACATTTCACTAAAAACAGGAGATTCCGCAACAAAAGCCAAGTCCAAAACCTGTTTTCCTATATTTCTTTAATGTTCCGTATTAAAATGGCTTTCGGTTGAGTAAATAGTGATTTTCAAGCGGTTGTCTGGTGTCCGTAGATTGACTAGAACACCGCTCTGCCCTCAGGGAACCGCGACGTGTATAGAATATTAAGCAACTTCCATGTTTTTGCTTCAACTCCACGATCAGGAAATGAAGTTTTAAGATAAAAGGTTATAAAAACACTGCAGTCTTGGTAGCATTTTAGGTGCATATCTAGAACTTTGTCATAACATGATATATTTATTGTTAGGTACTGTAAAACCGACTGCAACCAATTTGGATCAAAAATAATCTGAAACAAAACTAATCGTGAAATTCAATCAAATTCGCTCTTATTACAATATTTGAAGACACCCGTGACTTGTGCAGTTCTTATAAAATTACAATCAAAACGAACGCGCACGCTGCTCATGAGGAAGAACTCCTCTATGGATCAAAACTAGTAGACCTTTTCTTAGTGTATTCACGTGAGTAACCCGCGATTTTAGTTAATTTAGTAGGTCGAAAATTATTATAAAAACATACTACCAGTTAAAAAGTCTCGTTACAAAAAAAAAATAGAACATATTCGAAAATATGTCCAACCAATAAGTATCCTTTTTTGCTCAAGTTCCTCTAACAAGAATGCCAAAAATTAAGCTCTAAATTAAAACATTACTTATTAGGCATTAGAATAAATTTCAGCCAAACGGCTAAATGGCCGAAGCAGCCAACAAAAGTCGTGTAAAAACAAAAATTTGAGGTTCAACGTGGCGGGCGAGGGGTTGAAATACGACACAGGAAGTGCGTACCGAGGCCCCGCCCAATTTCCGCATTGCGTCTCCAGTACCCACAGATACCTTATGAGCTTCATCTGATAATCATAGAGATGAAAATGGATAATGAGCTTTGGAAAACAAAGCATAAGATTTATTTTCGTTCGACAGCTTGTTTCTACGTTTTTTTTTAAGTCTTTCGATGATCTTACTTATTCATTATTCAAAGGAGTGAGCCAAGGTTAATAACAATAGCACATACACAATAATTTAGAAGTCCAGTAAAATTACTAATCCGAAAAAAAAACCATTTTTCGCCAACTTAAGTCAAGTTACAATTGAACCATAATATAGGATACAACGCTAAGTAACAGTAATTAAATATCAGTACACCTCTGTATACCCCTTTAGGGAACTATATACGTCATGTTATCTACAACCCCTGCGTGTCAGCAGTATACTAATGAGTAATAGTACATATGATATTATGTATTCATCGAGTTGTATGTTGATAAACTATTTATACATTGGTTCAACGAATGACCAAGGGCAATCGATTCCATTGGAGGCCAATGGCAATTGTTAACATGTGCAAACGCACAATTGGGAATACATTTCCGTAATTAGTAATCCATTTTTTAAAAGGAACTATTACTAAAAATAATGTATTTGGGAGTAGGAATGTCACCAAACTGAACAACACATAATATCTAAGTATAGAGGAGCAATGATTCGGCATGAGTCGATCGGTTCACCCGGACTGATACCACGGCCTCACAGAAAACCGACGTAGGATAATGATTGTAGTGTATTTCACCGCGTGAGTGAGGTTACCGGAGACCCAATTCCTCCCCTTCTCAATCTCCTCTATCACCAAATGCTTAATCCTCAAATCCTTTCTAACTATTCTGATGTTGTGTCCATGGGCGGTGCCGATTGCTTACCATCAGCCATTCTTTCCCATAAAAATAAAGCCAAAAAATACCTACAGATACAGCTTTGGGTTTGGACTGCCAGTGTAGCACTCATGCAAAATGCCCGGTATTGTTAAATAGAAACGGGAATGGTATGATAATCGCACAGATTTGATCCGGATATCATCGAACATAGCAATCAACATGTTTGCTGTTCTACTGCTGAATTTGTAGATAAATAGCATTCGACAATTATTTATACTTCCTAAAATGGAAGCATAAATTATACACATTTTGTAACATAACATAACATCACGCCTTTCATCCTCGAGGGGGTAGGCAGAGGTGCATATTGCGGCACTTAGTGCCACTGTGCAATGTAACACCCACTTTTCACTATTTATGTTATGAGTCCCATGTAATAGGGGGTGAGCCTATTGCCATATACCGGGCACAATTCCAGGCTCCGTGCTACTACTGAGATTTAAAAAGAAAGAACCCAGTAATACTTTGTCCGACCCGGGAATCGAACCCGATACCCCTTGCCCAACAGGCAATCGTTTTTACTTTTTAATATTAATATTTAAAACATAAATTCCTCGGTTACAATAAAATTGTTGGCTCCATAGATACTTACGTATACATGTACAGTGTACAGTATTAAGTATTATCTTTCCGCATACATTCGCCTTCGGTATTGGGAAGTTAATTGGGAATTCATTAAATTAATCGACTTCGGATTGATGTGCGTTTCGCTTACCATTTATTTTCATAGTAGTGTGTGAATAAAAATAGGAGTATATAGAATATAGTGCTTGCCTTTCAAAGACTTTGCCTGTAGTAAGTAAGTAGAATCAAAATCCCAAAAACACTATATTACCTTCATATGACTTTTACCTATCTGCTCGCAGGTATCCGTATGCTTGTTTATCCCCTAGTAAAAATATAACATTTGATGACTGCCTCGTTGGTCGAGTGGTCGCAAATACGACTGGCGGGCAAGGGGTCTCGGGTAAGATTTCCTGGTCGGGCAAAGTAATACTTGGTTTTTTAAAAAACAAATCAGTAGTAGCACGGAGTCTGGATTTGTGCCCGGTATATGGCAATAGGCTCACCACCTATTACATGGGACTCGTAACATAAACAGTGAAAAGTGGTACAGTGGCATAATATGCACCTCTGCCTACCCCTTCGAGGATAAAAGGCGTGACGTTATGTATGTATGTATGCATTTGATACTAAACCTAAAGTGGTAGTACACTAAAAACAAATGACCAACGGTATTGCAAACTGTCAGTGTGTGCCAAAAATGCCACTAATCCACCAATGAAATATTCGCACTGACCCATTAGAGGCCTTTAACAAAAATGTATGTTAGTTTCGTTCACAGCATCACCATTTCCCTATCTCTTTCTAACACAGCCAAACGCGGAGTGGTATTCTTTTACTAGAACCTGAATCTATGAGAATTTTTGTGCCATTAGAACCTATAGATGCAGGTTGGTGGCGGTATTATCTTTTCTTTTATTTGATTTTCAAATAGCTTCTTTCATTTGATATTTTCAGTTATTAATTGCTTGCTTCTCATGAGCCATGGTCCATCATATTCCAAAAGAGTTCTATGCCTTTAGCCAAACGCAATTTTAGCGCTTGTCTAAAGAGAATAGAAAACTAAATGTATGGGAATGACACTGACAAGTGTCAAAATTTACGTCAATCCCAGATAATTTGGTTTTCTATTTTACATGTAGACAAGCTCTAAATGGCATTTGGCTACAGCTGCTGGTTACTGATCTTGATTTCGGTAGAATTTAAAACGCGGGTATTTTTTGAGTGTGATACGTGACTTAGAAAAGTGTAACACCGAATATCACATCCCCGTAAGTTTACGAATACGAAACACTTAACAACGAATGCACGCTACCTCGAAAAACTTAACGCCGTAGCCATGCGAACTCGAATAACGAAATCTCTAATTCACCTATACGAAACACTTAACAAAGAATACACGCTACCACTAAAAACTGAACACCGTAGCCATGTGATCTCGAATAACTAAACCTCTAAAAATCATCGTAAAAAGGTTTTATTCATATAACAATCAACCAAATCCAACATTAAAAAAAAATGTCATATTATGTGTCAATCAATCATATTTTTTTCAGTTCTTATAATCCTTGTTATGGGAATTGCGGTCAGTGATGATGGCGCACTTACAATTTCTACTATCTAAAAAGAATAAAAGATTATTGCTACACGAAGGATATTTGTTTACTTTAGACAGACGTTTAAATACAAAATGTTATTGGCAGTGTTTAAAAAAGTGGGCATACTGTTGTGGATCGCGAATAATAACTCAAGTAAGAAGTTATTTATTAAGTATTGTACATTCAAGTTTTTTTTTATCTAACCTATATTGTTCCACTGCTGGGCAAAGCCTCATAGTCTTCCACAGTTCCCTTTGTGGCGTCTTCTCTTGCCAATCTTCCGTAAAAGCCTGTAAGTCGTCCCGCCAGCGTTTTCTAGGCCTCCCTCGGTGACGACACCCATCTTCCGGCACCCACTGCGTGACGTCTCTAGTCCATCTGTCCTAATGCATTTTACATACGTGACCCGCTCAATCCCACTTAAGCTTAGCAGACTTATAACCCACGTCGGTGATTCCTGTTTTGGAGCGTATTGTGGTGTTGCGTATTTGGTCGCTGAGTTTGATACCCAACACGCTACGCTCCATCACTCTTTGGCAAACCTTGAGTAAAAATACATTAAGTGTTTTGTAAAGGTAGTCCGATTTTATAATTTTGTATTGTAATTGTATTAATATCAGTAATTAATTGCAGGAAAACAACAGCGGGGTTGATGAAATAATAAAATACAATAAAGAGCATTGTCACAGTCCTGAACCAGAAGTAATAGATGACTTAAAATTGAGAGCTAGATTGAAAAGACGAGCGAAGAATAGTATGGACGGACCGGCACAGGTAATACAGGCGGCGATTCAAGATATTCCTAGTGGAAGTGCCCCCTACTTACCTAGTATAAATGCGATGAGAATGGTGGTAAATAGAGCAAGAATGATTGGTGTTCCTACATCTCCAAAAAAGCTCCATAATCTAGTCATTCCAAATAAATACAGTAATTTTCTACTGGCTCACTACAGTACTGAAGAAGATTGTATTTTATTGTTTGGTACGTCAGAAAATATAAGACTTCTCCAGCTGTCACCATTTTGGATCTTAGATGGTACATTTCGTACCTGTCCAACAGTTTTTTATCAAATTTATACGGTGCACGGATTAATTGGATTGCACGATACCGTGCAAAAGGTGGTACCATTGGTGTTTGGGCTCCTGTCCAACAAAAATAAGAGAATTTATTGTTTATTTTTTGAGCTTCTCAAATCGCGAGCATCTCAATTTGGAACCAATTTGCAACCTGACGTAGTAATTACAGACTTCGAGAAGGCGTCAATAAATGCGGTGAAACAAGTGTTTCCTGAAACTAAACACAAGTGTTGTTATTTCCATCTGGCTCAAAATATTTGGAAGCATATCCAGTCTACTGGTCTCTCCAAACAATACTCAGAATCGACATCTTTCGCTCACAAAATGCGTCATTTGGCCGCGTTAGCCTTTTTAAAACCAGATGAGATACCTGAGGCTTTTGAAATACTAAAAGAAAAAGTATTACCCAAAGATGCAAGGAAAGTCATTGATTGGTTTTCCAAATACTACGTCAATGGTACTTATAAGAAAAGGACTACTCAAAACCGCGGATCATTAAAGACAAACTTGCATAAAGTGCCTCCATTGTTTCCGCCTGACATCTGGTCGGTGAATAGCTCGATAGGAACCACTGTTCCAATTACACAAAATGAGGTGGAATCATGGCACCACCGCTGGAACACCCTATTGGGCAGAAAGAAATGGAATTTATGTAAGACCATTGAAGAATTAAACAAGGAACAAAAACATACCGAATTAATAGTTGAAAAATTAAATTCGCAGTCTCAAGAAACCAAAAGATCAAAGAAAAAAGAAAATAGGGAAGAAAAAATAAAAAAACATTTGGAAAAAAAGGAAACTATGGACTTAACCACATTTTTAGATGGTCTTGCATACTTGTGCTATTTTAAACGTTAACTGTCATTTTTATTTTTTTTTTAATGTTTAATTTGTTTGGTTATATTGTCATGATTAATTATTTGGTTGATTGACACATAATATGACATTTTTTTAATGTTGGATTTGGTTGATTGTTATATGAATAAAACCTTTTTACGATGATTTTTAGAGGTTTAGTTATTCGAGATCACATGGCTACGGTGTTCAGTTTTTAGTGGTAGCGTGTATTCTTTGTTAAGTGTTTCGTATAGGTGAATTAGAGATTTCGTTATTCGAGTTCGCATGGCTACGGCGTTAAGTTTTTCGAGGTAGCGTGCATTCGTTGTTAAGTGTTTCGTATTCGTAAACTTACGGGGATGTGATATTCGGTGTTACACTTTTCTAAGTCACGTATCACACTCGTATTTTTTCTAGAAATAAGTACACGGAAAGAAACAAAAAATTAGATTCACAAAAAACATCTGGTCCCACCCAACATAAAGTTTACATTTGTGCTAAAGTTTGCTTGTTACTGAAACCTTCAGAGTTTGGGCGACAAGCGTTACAATATTGATAGGGACTTCAATAATGCATGTCTATGGATGGAGTTTCCCGTTGTTTGTCTTTGTTCCGACATGGTCTGAGGTTGTCAACGTGTTCTAGCGTTTTAAAATGACGTTTTAATAAAGCAATCCACTTTTAAATTAGTAGACAAGTCATACACCTATAATAAGTTTACAGATTAGGTCTTCTGCCGCCATTGGAAAGGTATCTGTCGTTACCAAAGAATGTCTGTAACAGTAATATTCACGTTCATGTTCAATATACACTTCTTTTTTGAAGAACACTATGCTGCAGTCTTTTGGGAAAACCTCAACAACCAGCACATTGTGTACCAAGTAAGCCAAGTAAAAAGCCTGTTTCATTGTAATATGATTGATAACAAACCAACGTGTAGCTATCTTTCTATGATCTCGTTTTCCACGAAGGTGTAGGCGTATGAATATAATTTAAACAAAAAATATGAGCTAAAAGTGCTACGTTGGTTTTAAAATACCACGAGACTATCCTCAGAGCCTCTCTGAACATTGTATATAATTATAATAGAATATAACACACAAAGTTATGTAATTTACCTTTGTTAGAGACCCTTTGTTACGTGTTCACTCAGAGGGTAGCAGTGTGTTGAGTTTAGACGCTATATGTTAACGCGGTTTAGGGTTTTACCGTTTTATTTTATTAGCAAAAGGCTTTGAACTATCATGGCCTATTAAATTTAGTAAAGAGGTTTCGAATTCTTACCAAATAATTTACGAAACATCTTTGGTTTTAGCGCAACGTAAAAACATATAAAAAAAAGTTAAAATATTTCAAAGTTTCTGTAATTTTCTTTTATCATCATGATACAGATTAATCAGCATATAAATTAACATCGTTTCACTACTTAACATCATATTCAAAATATTACAACCACAAGAAACAATAATATAATTATCTGAACTTCATACAGTCCTTATCTTACTCAACCGCATTATTCTGCATCTGTGAGTGAACTAGCATCTGTTGGTACAGCAAGTCGCCAAGTTGGGTGGAATGGCAAATAGTTGCGACTGTTAAACTGTGGATAACGTAATGTGTGGGGTTGCATTATTGTGGTTGTATTTATACAAAATCTACAACCGTAGTTTAAATCATTGTATCAAACAATTGTAATCAATTTTAAGATTTTTTACTTAGGACTTACTGAATTGGTGGCAGCCATGTATGGAATGGGATAATGATAGATGATGAACTGGTTCCCCTTGACGCAAATCTGATGCATTAACTTGAGAAACTATGTTCATATCATACGTTATTTTGTTGTTTAAAAAAATAGTGAAAAATGGGTATTATATTGTGCTTACAGTGGCATTTAGTGTCGTAATGTGCACTGCACCAATGCCAGCCCTTTCGGGGATAAAGGGCGTGATGTTATGTTATTTTGTTTAAATAATTTATTTTTTAGATTCCTTGTTTTATGATTTTCACGATTAAACGTATGATAATCTCATATAAATATGGGTTCTTGTTTCGATAAAGCTGAAATCTCTCTTCAACGGGAGCAAAGACGCGGGTAAAAATGAAAGCCTCACTAAGTTCTACTAATTGAGGAAGTTCGTAAATTAACATTCATTACGGCCTCCCCTGATTGATTGCCTTTTCTTATGGAACTTTGGAAAAACTTCCACTCGAAATATCTTTATGAAATTAATTCGAATTAGTGATCCGACATTTATTACTGCAGTTAAATTTAATTTGCTGAAAATATTAAAATAATCCACATTTTTTTAAGTAATGTAATAAGTATTAATCACGACTTTTTTATTTTCCGAAATGAATAGCGCAGAAAAAATTAGCACACCTAATTAAAACATATTCGCTAATCGTAAACTACACAAAGACTTCTCCATAACAAATAAATTCAATATACACATTTAATATTTATTTTCTTTCACCCATTTACTCATCTTTGTCAAGTTCTACTTGTTCCTGGCAGAGCCTTAAAATAGGACGTTGTTTCCAAGGTTTTGGCAAATGGAATATGGCGTACGCATTGCAGAGTGACCTCAATGCGTTCGACGCAGCAAAACCTATTTACACAGACATAGATAAATATAGGACTTGTATTGTTGAGCCAAAAACCAATACATCTAATACTATAGAAGTACGTAACAAATAAATTAACAATATATTTATTCTCTTTGTTTTGAAAGGCTTAAAAGATTGAGTCGGAAGGTTAAGGATAGGTAGTAGACTGACCCTTACGTCACCTGAATCTAATATAAAAACCTAGAAAAAAGATAATTTGATATTGTAACTTGTAAACAAATTGACCAATAATATCATCATGGCCGTTTATAAATATTATCATTAAAGTGACATAAGTACAATTTTATTTACATTTAGTGCCATCAACGTACCACAAACCCTGATCTGAAGCCATTATTACGTATTTAGAAGACGATACGAAACCCAATAGTATTCTGCTCAACGACATCATAAAAGAAAACTGTTTTGATTCCCCTTTTCTCTTTATTATTTTGTTTTTAGGTACAGTACTTAATCTCCTTCAAACATTTTGCATAAAATGTGACTGATTCAATTTTTCTAGACTACGCAAATCACTAGAGAATGCATATAAATCACTTAGCGACGACGTTAAAAAATAGATTGCATTTGTTTTGTTTTTTGTGTGAATTATTTTCTGTAGACAACCACTGGACTCTGAGGAATATCTCTGGCATGACATCAAAGAATTTTTTTCTATAGCAGTATAGCGTAGAATCGTTTTTATTTCAATTTAATTAAGTGCATTTTTGCAACGATCTCATTATCAAGTGGCAAAATACGATTTTAGTATCCAATAAGATTCATGCATTCATAATACCATCGCCTTACTCTTCCGGCATTACTCTTCCATTCCATCCACATTCATCTACGTCTTTGCGCATTATAGACGATTTTATCCTGTTTTTACTTTCCCATTCAGGGAATACATTCTTTATTAGTTCCACGATCACAATCTCTTGCAATACAGCAGTAAATGTTTTTCGATACTATTCTTCGAGCTCTAAAGAAAAAGAAGATAACATGTCAAGAAGAATTCATCTATAGAAGAATTACGAGCTTTTCCTCTTTCTCTGATAAACCGCCTATAAAGAAGGATTGAAAGTTAATTTGATGTTATTTATACTCAGTCAGACTTATTCCTACAAACAGAAAATGATATACGAGCGAGGCAGCAAATCGAACTGAGCCGAGGTAAATAAAATATTCATCCGAGTTGCGAACGTTCAAGCTTGCGTACTTTTTTTAGAACCTTCGTGCAAACGAACTCAGTAGGCTATAAATTACATAGAAGATTAAATATAGAAGTAAAATATATACAGAAAAGTCATCATAATATACAAAGCATCTGCCAGAGGCCCAATTACCCTCCCCCGCCCTCCCTAATTTCCCCAATCCCTAAAATGGCGGTAACACCTCTGGTGGTCCAGGTGTCCATGGGCAACGCCGATTGCTTACTATCAAATGATCCGTCTGCTCATTTATTGGCTTATCCCATAAAAAAGCAACGCGATATGTTTTTAATTCGAATAGAATACAAACATTTATTTATACATAGTAGGCTAAAAGATGAAAAATATGAAATGGACACTAAAGGGTGTATATATATAAACTGTAATTTCCAAGGTATCTCTCAGTTTAAACAATTTTGATAAAGGATTTAACTTAAATGTTAAATCTGGAAAATACTTCTCCCATTGTTTATTGAAGAATTAAATATTTTATTCCATTGCCAGAACTAGTGTAATAAGTTGTTGTTCTATATTGGATTTTAAAGTATTTAAGACTATTGTATGTATCATCGTATCGTTAAATAAACTTTTCACGTAGTACGTAACATATTTTCGCCCGATTAACTAAAATTCGCGGGTTACTCACGTGAATATACTGAGAAAATCTCTACTAGTTTCGAACCACAGAGGGGTTCTTCCTCATGTGAGTAACCCGCGATTTTGAGTTAATTTAATATGTCTCACGATAGTAAATATAAAAAATTTTTCGCCCGATTCAAAATGGAGTCATCCGATTATCTCGTCACATATCATGGAGTTGAAAGGGACAATGGTATGAATATGGAGTGCCGTACACAACCCAAACACATAAATCTTCCGCGTTAGTACAGACTGTGCCATAAATCCTCGAGGATTTCAAAACTATCGTCCGTTCGGTAATAAAAACAACGTTTCCTTTAATCAAATACTTTCTCTGTGAATTGAAAATTAAATAGATTACTATTCGAGTGAATTTAGTTAGATTTAGTTTTCAGAACATTTAATATGCTATATGGCTGCCGCGTAACGTGTCGTGGAATCGTTTCTAGCAAGGAACAAGTGTTTGTCCACAGATTGTTGTTCCTGGTCTGAGTGTCATGGGTATGTGAGGAGAGAACCTCAGTGTGGGGCAACGTTAAAAAAACAGTATTTAATTGTAGTTCAATGGATCTCAACTTCCAAAATTAATGCCACTTACAACACTGTCAACAGTGTTACAGTCAACGTC